GGCCGTGGCATCTTCACAGGACATGTCCCCACGACGCACACCAGGACATGGCTCAAGGCCTGGGCCTCCCACATGCCCCTGCACTTCCGGCATGTCCTTGCCCATGGCACACACCAGACGGAGCTGGTGTAGGTAGCTTCTAGGGGGTGTGTTCCTAGGGTGGGCTCCGCCATCCCTGTCGTGTGCACCAGCTGCTGCGTCCACCCCTAGTGCCGGCTCTGGGGCCAGAGCAGGAGCTCAGGGACACCGGAGACTGTGCAGTGGAGGCATTCATTGTGGGGTGTCCCAGGGCTGGGTACAAAGGCAGGACCTCCGTGTACCCCGCATGCCTCTTTCCCTGGAGACTGCAGCCAGCTGGGTTCCCATGCCAGCCTCCTAAGACCACCATGAGGGAGGCACTTAGGAGGAGAAACGCCCAGGCCTAGTAGGTTGAGTTGGTGAAGCTGCCCGCCCAGGGACAGGACTCAGAGAGGCCACGCCTGGGCCTGTGGCTCCAGCAGCAGCCGGCGGGTCCTGCCGCGCCTGTCGCTCCCAGTGACCAGTCCACTTGCGCCATTGCCTTCCAGGTAGCCGCTGACCCCCGGATGCCTGCTGGCCAGTCCCCTGGTCACAAGTTCATTTGGGGAAGGCTTCAGGAATGGAAGGAAAGGCCATCCGGCCTCCCTGACCCTCTGCACAGAAGCTGATGGGTTTCCCACACACTGGCTGCTGGGAGGCGCCTCAACTCTGGTTTTGGCACAGACAGGCCCTGCTGCGTCTGTCAGCTCTGATGGAAGTGACAACCATTTCCCCTTCGGACAGGCCAGAGTGGCCCGTCCACGCTCCAGGGTGTGAGGCCAGAGTGGCCCATCCACGCTCCAGGGTGTGAGGCCAGTGGCAGAGTCCCCAGGACCACGGCCCAGCGAGGGTGAGGCGGGGAGACGTCCTGGCCGAGGGCTGAGCCCCTCCCCTCCTAAATGCTCTGGGGAGCAGGGCTTCTGCACCACCCCTGCCTTTCCTGGCTGTCTGTGAAACTGAACATCTCCAAGTAAATATTTTAATTGCTAAGCTCAGGCAGCACTTCGGGGCTTCATGACGATGACATGGAAACCCCAATCCCATGCCGCCATCGGAGCCAGGTTTGCGTTTCTCACTCAGCAACCACCAGCCCCATGACAAACCCCACACCGCCCTGGTTACCCTCAGCTGCGAGACAGGAGGTGCTGGGAGTGGCTGGGACTGCGTCTGGTCCATGCTGCCGGGATGGAGATATGGGTGGGGCCAGCGGCTTAGACCAGCCTCTTGGTGGGGTGAGCGGGGAGGTACACACCTGCCCCAAACTGCAGCTCAAAAGATGCAGACGTAAGGGTCACATGTTCCATACCCTGAGTTCCCCAGGCCCCGCCGGAGAAGGTGGGGGTCTCAGGGGGCTTTGGGTTTTGCTCTGCCCCTGACCCCTAGCCAGAGCTGAACCTTCTAGAAGCCAGGAAAAGTCCATACCAGTTCCTGGACCAGACTAACCCCTCCACCCACACCTGCCCCTGAGCACACTGTGGCCTGGGTGTGGGACCCCAGGGAGAGACTGTGCTGGGGTCACCGGGGGCCTTCTAGTGGTCAGGATGGCTCACGGGGGGAATGGGGGGCTGTGGCCAACCCTGCGGGACCTGCCCACCCCCAGGCAGCTGTGAGGCCTGAACGTGGCGGGGTCTCCCCGAAGTGAATCTCTGTGTTCTTGTCCTGCAAAGCTCAGTGTTGGGGGCAGAGACAGGGACAGCACCCACAGGCCCTGCTCAATGAACCTTATGGTCCCTCTGCTGGGGACCTGGAGGGAGCCACAGAGAACAGGACCGACGTGGGGGAGGAGGGCACCTGCTCTGAAAATGACAAATAAAGTGGCTGCCAAGGAACAGGCTCATTTGGGGTGGATGAAGTCACAGGATGGCCCATAGCAAAGACAGGGAGGCAGCTGCAGACCCCACCCAGGGAGCTTCAGGGGCCGCTGGGGCTATGGGGATGGCACCAGGCAGGTGACACCAGGCAGGCGGGGGCGGTGCTCAAGGAAGCAAGGCTGGACCGGAGACGGTGGGGGTCTCAGGGCAGCTTTGGGTTTTGCTCTGCGTTGTCTGGGGCTGAGCAGTGCCGAAGGATGTTCTTGAGATAATGGGATGCGGAGGCCGAGGGGGATGGAGGATGAGGGAGGAACAAGGCCTGGGGGAGGCAGCAGGGGACGAGCTGAGGCCCCAGGAGCGGGTGGGTGGCTGCAGGTGTTGGGGGGCTTCTGGGACAGATGAGGGTGTAGGGCGGCCCTTTGACCCGAGAGCCACCCTAGAGACAGCTGTTAAGTCTTTACCTCCTGCAGGTGACCCAGGACTCATGGGAAGTCAGGAGCTGCCTGAGACCATTGCTGCATGGCTTGGGGTGGGTAGACGGGCTCTGAACAAGAGCCGCAGAAGGGGATGAACCACACGCGGGTGTGCGGGATCCGCTATGTGGGGCAGAGATCCTCAGCAGGGATGGTTCCCAGGCCGCCCCCACAGCCTGCCGGTGTGCAAAGCCACCTCCCTGACTTTCTCATGGTCTGGGCTTCCCAGTTTCATGAGATTAAGATGGAAAGTTGTGGTTTGTGAAATCTGTGCAGTTACAGGAAGAACATTCCATCCATGGGAGCCTGGAGTGGTCTGGAGGGAAGGTCAGCTGTGGGAAACCTCTCCCAGACAACTGTCATTGTGCAGAGGGGCAGGGCCCAGGGATGTCGGGATATGAAACGCTGGACCCTTGCCTCTGCAGGGCCTGGGTGCCTACTTCCCCTCTGGAGCGTCTCTTATTCGGAAAACGTGTGGCCCACACTGTGGAGCAAGGAGCCCTGGGCTGGGCAGCTGCCGGCCTGGATCCCAGTCCCAGCAAGTGCTGATTACTTTCCGCACTTCTGTATCTGCAGAACCAGGTGATCGATCGCCAAGGCCCAGCCAGCTCAGCAAGCTCTGCCGCCTGCAGCCACTGGCCACCCTCTGCCCGGCCCACCTTCCTCAGATGTGTTCTGCCCACCGGTGGCAGGCCACCCCCCGAGCAGTGCGTGCTATATGCAGATGACAGAGACAGACCTGGACAGAGATGTGGAGGGCAGCCAGTATCAAGGGGACCCCCAGCTTGCGCTCACTTCCCCCTGCCTGCTTGTCTCTAACGTCCAGATGTTCTGCTCTTAGCCCCAAAGTCCCTGCGGTTCAGTTCCTGCTGGTGCAGTCCAAGAGCCCCTCCTTCTGAGCCCCTGCCCAGGGTGAGCATTGCAGCTGTTTTGTCCAGGCTGGCTGTAATTGTTGTTTAATATTCAATATTTGACATAAACTCTATTTTGATTGTGAAACCACTCAGCATTCCATGTCCTTATTCCTGGGTTTGATTCTAAGGCCCTTTCGGAAACATCTGTCCCTATGTGGTCACCTTGTCTGGAAGGTTCCCACAGAGGACGGCATGACGGGCTTTCTCCCAGTGCAGACGCTGCTCCCGCAGCTCCTGCCCGGAGCATGTTATCATCCGAAGAGGACACACGCAGAAACGTGCCGGGGCCAGCAAGCCTGCACAGTGTCACACACACTCAGCCCAGTGAGCTGCACGCACGCGTTACCCACGCTTGGGTTTGGAGACCTGGTTTGTGACTATGGTTTCACAGGGTGTTGATGTCCCCTACTTTTCTGGATGTTCCCCCAGGTATTTGTTTGTTTGCTTTTTGTTTTTGTTTTTGAGACGGGGTCTTGCTCTGCCATCCAGGCCAGACACCATCACAAAAAAAAAAAAAAAAAAAGGAAGAAAGGCCGGGCACCGTGGCTCATGCCTGTAATTTCAGCACTTTGGGAGGCCAAAGTGGGAGATCACGAGGTCAAGAGATCGAGACCAGCCTGGCCAATATAGTGAAACCCATCTCTACTAAAAATATATAAATGAGCTGGGCATGGTAGCACACACCTGTAATTCCAGCTACTTGGGAGGCTGAGGCAGGAGAATTGCTTGAACCCATGAGGTGGAGGTTGCAGTGAGCCAAGATTGCACCACTGCACTCCAGCCTGGATGACAAAGCAAGACTTGGAAAAAATAAAAATAAGAAAACTGCAGCTCTGACCTCCTGGGCTGAAGCCATCCTCCACTTCAGTCTCCTGAGTAGCTGGGACCACAGATGTCTGCCACCACGCCTGCCTAATTAAAAAAAAATTTGTTTGTAGAGACGGGATCTTGCCATTCTGCCCAGGCTAGTATCGAACTCCTGGGCTAGAGGAATCCTCCCGCCTTTGCCTCCCAAAGTGCTGAGCTTAGAGGCATGAGCCACCATGCCCAGTGGTTTCTCGATTTTGAATTGGCATTAGTAGCTCTAATTCTGTCAACTAGAGAATCTGTTAGGACGACTCACTACGTAAAGAGACTAGAAAAGGGAGACGCTTGAGCACCTCAAAAGATAGGCTCCTAACAAGCATCTGGTAAATTTAATATTTAGTCCTAAGTTTAAGGCACACACAACCACAAGATATTCAGAAAGCTAGAAATAGTCGGAAGCTTCCTGAACCTGTAACAATTGGTATTTAATACATTAGGACAGACACCAGCAAACTTTTCTGTAAAGGCTCAGATCGTGAATATTCCAGGTTTTTCAGGCAATATTGCCTCTGTCTGGACTATTTAACACTACTGCTGTGGTGTGAAAATAGCATCAGATAATATGTAAAAGAATAAGCATAATTGTGTTTCAATAAAACTTTATTTACAAGAAGAGACCATAGGCTGGATTTGCCCCCGCCCCCCCACCCTGCCATAGTTTGCAAACCCTGCATTAGACCCACTCTCATTAGTCAGACACAAGAGAAAGAAGCTTGGTTTTATACTTGAGTCCTGGCCAAACATGATAATATATACAAAGTATAAATATTAGAAAGGCAGAGATATAACTATAATTATTTGCATAATTATCTGACTGTTTACCTAAAAAGTTCAAAATAATGAATGGACAAACTATTAGAATTACAAGTGGCCAACTGTAACATCATATACATCAATCAACAGTGTTTATAAAACAGCAATACAGAATTACCACATTTTATGGGAAAGTGTCCCACTCAATGTCACAAAAACTTCATAGATTTCATAAAATACTCAACAACAAACCAAGGAATGAGTACCTCTGCCATCAAAGGAATCTAAAACACTTTGCCAAAGTTCCAAATTAGTTGAGAGCTAGAATCCATTTTTAAGTAGTAGGACTCTAAGTCACATAAATGACAATTTTCCAAACCGTCCCATGAACTATGTGCGTCCCTTAAAACTCCCACAGGACTGCGGTGGGCCTTGACACTGCTTGTAACTTGACGTGGGAGAAGAGCCGTGCAGACCTGCGGAGGAATGCTTTTGAGAGGCCTGGGGAGGGAGCCTGCTGTAAAGCTGTCACCGTTAATGGCCTGAGTTACTGCAAAGAAACAGAAACAAGTCCGCCAGTCAGGACTGAGAAAGCAGAGACAGTACCAAGTATTTACAGGAATTTTGTTTATGATGACAGTGGCATTTCATGTCAGTCAGTGGAGAAAAGTCTTTTTTCAATAAATCATCTGGTAACTGGCTATTTGCAACAGAAAATGTTAGAGCTGTATCTCACGCAACTGCAAACAAAATTCTAGTGGATTAAAGAGCTCACCATGTGCGATGGAGTGACTAGTGACGTGTCCCCAGCATTCCTGTGCCGAAGCCTAAACCCCAGCGACACAGTATTAGCGGAGGGTTCTTGGGGAGGCGGTTCAGTTAGCCAGGAATCCGACCCTCACCAGGAACCTGAGTGTGTGGCACGGTGAGCCAAGACTCCTCACTCCAGAACTGCGGAAGTACGTTTCTGTTGTTTCAGCCCCACAGTCTACACTCTTGTTCTCAGCCCCGGCTGATGAGAACATTATCAGGATGTTAGAAGCCACAGCCGTAGAAAGACGGAAGAGACATCAAAGTTTGTTTCAACTGTCTTGCTGTAAGAAACACCCTTTAAGTAACACCCGAGACTCAGGAGTCCTAAGAAAGGGGGGTGTAACCAGTCCCCCAGTGCCCCTGGTGGTTGGGCTGAGTGACAGGTACACAGGGACTCATGGTGCTCACCTTGTAACTATTTCTCACATTAAATATATTCAAAATTTAAAATAGAACACCATCTACAAAGCTAAGAGACAAGCAAGGGATGCAAGAAACCACTTTCAAACTACCAAGGTGTCCCAACAGGAAAAGACTATTGGGCAAAAGATTTGTTTACACAATTGACAGAGGAACCCCAGGTTCCGCTCCTGCAGACGCTGGAGACTCTGCCGACACCGTCAGCGTGACGCAGAGGGTCCCCTCCCTGCACCCACAGCTCCCCGAAGGGCCCTCTGTGTGCCCGAGGTGGGTGTGTAGTGATTTGTCTACACCTCCGTCTGCTCCTGAGAGCAGCACCCTTCACATCTGCGTCCCAGGCCCCACCAAGCACAGGACACGGAGGCCCTCACAAATTCCTGGAATGAATGAACGAGGTGAGGAAGGTTGTTTTCAGGACCTCTGGCCCTTCTCCTTTTAGAATCTCTAAACCTCACACTTGAACTTGATGCCTTCGCTCTGGAGGGATGAAGCAGACACCGCCGGGGCTAGGGGTTTGCGACGTTTATGCTGAGGCTCAGGGCCAGGCTCAGCACTCGTGGATTTGCCACCTGAACCTGGTGGTCAGGGCCTGCTCAGGAATCAGCAAAACCTCCAGATGTGCTTCATCCCAGGGAGGAAAGCCCAGCACCCCTGGCCCCCTCTGCTTTTCCACTGACGTCATCACTGGAGAGGGAGAAGGGGAGTCCTTGGAGCCAGCCCTCCAAACATAAATAAGCAGCTGGGACCAGCAAAGCGCATGACGCACTTTTCACCTCTGCCAGCTTTTCAATCCCAGAAAGTCCTGTGGGACAGATTCTCACAGTCCCCAGTGGGACCCAGCCATGACCCCCGCTCACTCCCCACGTTTCCCGCCTGGCGGAAGCTGGACACCCTGCCTCCAACAGCAGCCCCAGGCCATGGAGAGGCGACCCCATGGGAGCGGATGTTTGTGAAGCTCCTCTTGGAGGGAAAGCTGCCCCCAAAGCTGAACGCTCCCCTCTCAAGGCACAGGCAGTGGAGCTGTCACGAGCCGGTCACATCCCTTTTAGAGCCAAACTCAGGGGCTCAGAACATTTGTAAATGATTTTCTGAGCCACTGAGTGTGTGCGGGTGGCGCAATCTCTGTTTTCATTCCCTTAGACATGGGGCTTTCTCCCCTGGAGCCCCATGCTGGGGGAACCTCACACCACAGGCCTTGCCTCCCGCCTCCCACGCAATGCTGAGGAAGGACAGGCCCTCCCCTCCCCAGGGAAGGTCAGAATGGAGAAGCCCAGGTGTGGGGGGAATTCTGAGCAGGCATAGTCGCCCCCAGGTCTGGCATCCCCGCAGTGGGCCCTGGCCCTGAGCCCATGCTGTACCTCCCCCACATGTAGCCGCTGGGATGTGTCCAGGCCCGGACAGGAGGCAGGCGTCCACGTGCTCCCCGAGGCAGAAGGCGTGGGTTCTGCTTCAGGGCAGATGGTCCAGCAGAACCCTCACTGTGGCCCCCCAGGTCCCTGCAGGCACTGGCCAGTCTCTCCCAGGAGGCAGGCCCTCCTGTGTTGCAGGCCTCCTGGGGCACTGGTGCCCTGTATAGTGACCATAGGTGGCTGCCTTGGGATTGGCACACCCCTAGGAAACCCCGGGCGCCTTTGCTGCTTGGTCACTTGGTGGCCTGGGACCCTCGGGCGCCTCCTCCATCCACGGAGCTGGCCAGGCTGTCCGTGGGAAAGTGTTGACTCGAGGGCCCCAAGCTCCTGTTAGGAAATCCTCTGAGTGTGGCCTCTGGCCCTGGAAAACCAGACTCCTTGCCTTGCCAATGACTCACAAGGCTGTCACCTCCCTGTGCACTTCCAGGCACAAAGGCCAGGATCTGGTTACTGGGGAACTGTGATGTGCAATGAGTCCAGAAACTCCCGACATGTGAACCTGCTCATTCACTTTGCAAACGGACAAACAGGCCTGCACGGGGCCCCTGACGTTTGCTCTCGTCCCTGCTCCTAGGAGAGCCCTCCTTGGGTCCTGAGCTCAGCGGCCCTCGGCCACTGGGTCCATTCCCTGTCCAATCCCACTGGCCAGCCTCCCTTTGCCAAGGGACAGCTCCCTCATCTCCACGGCAGGGGAGTCTCGGGGGCAGTGGTGACATCCCCAACCACCTTTCTCTGCTATCCACTGCTAACCGGGCTCCCAGGGCCACCTGTCGGGCCGGGAGGCTGGGAGTTGATGATGGGTGGAAGCTCCAGCCGTGCTGAGATCTGCTGGGCCCCTCCCCATCTGCGTGTCTCTTGGGAGGGGAGCCACATCTGGTGCACACGTCCACCCGCTGTGGGTGTTCTGGCTAGGGGCCTGTGGCCCACATCCATCTCGGGCCCAGGGCTCACCCATGGAGCTGGGGGCCTGGAGTGCCTAGAGCTGACCCTGCTGAGTTCTGTGGGGACAGATGATAGTCAGGGCCCAGCAGGCGGGGAATGATGGGCTCTCACAAGTGTGGCCCCAGGACCACAAGCTACACCTGCTGCATCTGAGCCCAAACAGCCTCCTTCCCCTCAGGTGAGGTTTTGCAGGGAGCTAAGCAAGCTGGGAGCAGGTCAGTAGTTGGGGAGGGGCTCCAGCAGGGGCTGCAGAGGCCCAGGGCCTGTTCGCGAGGGTCGCAGGGGACAGAAGAAGCTTCAGCAGGGGCCACAGGGGCCCAGGGCCTGTTCTCGGGGGTCCCAGGGGACGGAAGAGGGTTCGGCAGGGGCCTCAGGGGCCCAGGGACTGCTCTTGGGGGTCACAGGCGACGGGAGAGGCTTTGGCAGGGGCCGCAGGGGCCCAGGGCCTGCTCTCGGGGGTCGCAGGGGACGGGAGAGGCTTCGGCAGGGGCCGCCCAGTCTGCTCTTCTCTCATGTGCTGGAGCCTCTCCCTGCTGGACACGTCGATGCAGAGCTTGGCGGAGCTGCGTTTTTCCTGCCCCCTGGCATGGAGCTCCCGGGAAGGGCTCTCCTGCCCTCTCGTGGCAGCCTCGGGGCAATGGCCTGTGGGCCCGAGAGCCCCTCCTTTGCTGCGTGAACGGTTGGTCACAGAAGAGACTGTGCTGTGCAGGGAACGGGGCCACTTCCTGAGACTCAGACACAGACTTTCTTGAGGAAAGACTAGTAAAACCTCTTCCGGGTCATTCCTGATTAGGACTTTAATCCAGGGGTCAACAAAATCCTCCCCAACCTGAAGGAAGCTGCCCAGGCAGGGAGGAGAAAGGCCAGAGCTCACAAAGAGGCGGAGGGGTGCCAGCCTGGAGTCTCCCCACTATGGCACCCAGCACATGGCTTGCCTGCTCTCCCACCACTGTCACCCGGGAAGAAACACTGGGTGGGGGAAGAGTCCCCCGACCTGGAGCAAGGCCAAGCCTTTGCCGTGGAGAAGTGAGCTGGGCCTGCTGGAGACAGAGTGTGGGCTCTGGCCTCTAGGTCGTGAGCACAAACTGCCCACAGGACCTGGGTCTGTGGGCTCCAGCTAAGGCCACTGAATCCAGCAGAGCTTCACCATGAGTCCTTGCGATAGAGCCAGTGGGGTCAGAGCTGGCCTGTCCTGAGCAGCCCAGAGGCAGGGGTGTGGCCCACTCAGTTCCCCTGTGGCCTTGGCTGTTCCGCTGATTTCTGGTTCGGGTGTTCTGTGGCCCCCTTCATAAAGAGGGTCGGCTTCTGCTTGGGCGCTCACCTCCTAAGCATTGACATTTGAAATTAGTGTCTGTTCACAAAAGCAGCACCACCCGTCTTCGGAGGCAGCGGCCTGGGCGTGGCTGCAGCACTGCAGCAGAGGGCTAAATAGAGGCATGGCTGCAGCAGCTGCGGGTCCCCTGTGGGGAGTGCTGCATAGAGGGGTGGCCTGGGCATGGCTGCAGCGCTGCAGCAGAGGGTGGCATAGAGGCGTGGCTGCAGCAGCTGTGGGTCCTTTGTGGGGAGTGCTGCATAGAGGCGTGGCCTGGGTGTGGCTGCAGAGCTGCAGCAGAGGGCTGCATAGAGGCGTGGCTGCAGCAGCTGCAGGTACCCTGGGGGAGGGCTGCACAGGGAAACCCATCTCAAGGATCTCTGGCCACAGGCCCCAGGCAAACCCCTTGGCTTGCCCATGGGAGTGTCAGGGTCCCCCCAGGCTGCATTAGTCCAGGACTCATGGGTATATAAGAAGGTATGTTCAGCCAGGTGGTGCTGTTTCTCCCAGGTAAAGGCAGGAGAGAATGGCTGTGTCAGCCATCTGTCCTATCTGTCCTGCGGATACACTGCAGGCTCTCCTTATGCAGGATCCTAGTAAGTGCTCTGGACAGATCACCCTGGTGACAGGGCCTCTTTCTCTGGAATCCCAACCAGCCCAACTCCGGGGGTTTGAGGTACTCTCTGGTGGAAATTCTCGTCACTGCTTTTGGAATGACTCCATCTATGGGTTCGGCCAGGATGAAGCACAAACTGTGAAATGATTTCCAAAGGGTGCAGCTCCCATCCACTGTGTCTGAGGGTTTCGGCCACTCCACTCACCCACCAACACTTGGCGTCCATGTTTTTGATTGTACTAGTCCAGTGGTGACAAGGACATCCCACTGAGATTTTCACGTTCACTTCCCTTCCTATCGGCCATTTGGTTTCCTTCCTTTGTGTGTCAGGCTGGCTACCACCTTCGTGTCAGATTCCTGGATTTTCAAAGATCTTTATATATTGCAGATACAAGCCCTCTGTCAGATCCATTATTCTGAATATCTTCCCCGTTGATGGCTTGCCCTTTAAGTGTCTTTCGAAGACCAGAAAGGCTTACTTTTTGGTGAAGTTCAACATCTCTTATTTTTTCTTTTCAAGCTCATGCTTTTGTGTCTGGCTGAGGTCTTTTTTTTTTTTTTTTTTTTTTTTTTTTTTTTTTTTTTTCTTTTCCCAAGCCTTTGTCCATCATCTGGCATTTCTGGGTGCTTGGGACTCCACTCTGACCTGCATGTTTATCCTCTTCCTGCAGCTTTAAAAGAGTCTTTTTAGGGGTCTAGTAAATTTTAATTTTTGCTTCATATAGTGTAAACTAAAAGTAGAATTCTAACCCTCCTCAACCAACTGAATGGACCCCTCCTCTCCACCAAGAGGGTTGGACGTGCATTATACTCACCTCTCTTTGGAGTTCAGGTGCAGCTGACCAGCACTGACATTAAAACAGGTCATAAGACTGACACAGCAGACTCTGTAGTAAAAAGACACGAAGTTCCAATCTGACTCTGGTACAGCACCACGTGACAGCAGGCCCTGAAAGCAGCAGTGTATTTTACCCAAAATACATCTCTTCGACAAATTTTGAAATAGCTCCGAAAAGCTGTCTTCCGTGGAGAAATTCACATTCTGTAGAGACTCCCCTTCTTTTTCCAGCTTTTTCTGATTCTGAAGAGACCGACTGAGAGTCTAGTGTTGTTTTGTTTTGCTTTTGTATTGTTAGTAGACTGGGTTTCACCACGTTGGCCGTCTGAATAGGAAACATTTGCCACGTATTGCCTCTAAGGTGAACACCTATAAACTTCATCTACATATTAAGAACCCTGGTCTCCACAGCCCCTTATCTTAACCCAGACACTCCTCTCTATGGATTCCAGGCGTTCAGACAGTAATTCTTTCAACCAATTGCCAATCAGAAAAACCTTTGAATCTACCTGTGACCTGGAGGCCTTTCCGCCTGGAGTTGCCCTGTTTCTGGGCCAAACCAATGCACACCTCACATGCACTGACTGATGCCTTATGTCTCCCGAAATGTACAAAACCCAGCAACCGAGCCACCTTGGGTGCAAGTTCTCAGGACCTCCCGAGGCTGTGTCATGGGTCACGCTCCTCCCATTTGGCTCAGAATGAATCTCTTCAAGTGTTTTTCAAAGTTTGGCTTTTTTGTAGGCAATAGGCAGATAGATTCCATTTGCTAATTTTCTGACATGCTCTCTGTGTCTAGATGCATGAAAGACATTGGTCTCTGGTTCTATTGTCTGGTCATGGCTGACTTTGCTATCAGGGCAATGCTGGCCTCATACACCAGGCAGGAATAAGCGGCCCTTCCTCATCCACTGTCTGAGTGGCCGCATTCCTATTACTGCATTTCTAAGTACGATCCACCAGCTTGGTCTTCTGGACCTGGAATTTTCTGTGTGAGGACATTTGATTACAAATCGATCTCAAATTCAATTGAACAGATAACGAGCATTCATATGTTCTTTTCTGGTAACTGGCATCCTTCCAGGAATTCGTCCAGTTATACCGTTTTGGGGGCTGCCTGCACTAGAGTCAGCGTGGCGTCCCCTCAGAAGGCCAGGCTTGCCAGCGCCGCACCCCAGGCCACTGGGCCAGTGCTGGTGCCCTCTGGAGCCGCCTGGAGGCTGTGGTGTGCGGTGGCGGCAGGAACGCACCTGGCTCCCGAAACAAGACCTGTAATAAACCCTCACAGAGGGGGCCGGGGAGGGCAGCGCAGGGGCGGCAGCTCCGGATCCCCGCGGGTCTCCCGATCGCCCCACGAGGCCCCGCGCCCCAGTAGCACAGTCCCTCCAGCGCTCCTTGAAGGCCGGCGCCCGAGCCCGGGTGCCCCCTCCCCAGGGCTCCAGTGCTGGGGAGATCCAGGAGGCCGCAGGTACGAGCTCGACGGCACCCCAGACCAAAAACCCAGGCTCTAATGCGCGGCTCCCACCCCGTCCTCAGGTCAGGGGGCGCGTGCACCCGGCGCCGGCCCAGTCTACCGACCCCCCGCGTCCTACCCCACACAGTACAGCCCCCCGTCCCACCCGTCTCCTCACGGGCCCGTCCCCGCCGTCCAGCCCTCCGGCCCCTCCCCACTGGTCCCGGTGTCCACGGACCTCCCGGCCTCGCGGACCCTCAAGAGCCCCTGCATGGGCTGCGCCAGGTCGCCCCCGACAGCACCAGCGCGCGCCACCGCCACCGCCACCAGGAGCGCGACGGAACGGCCGGGCCGAGCGCTCAGGACGCTGGAGACTCCGCACACGCGCAGTTCCGGATCCCGCCCGGCCGGCCGGGGGTGGTGCATACGCATGCGCGATGAGGTGGGGGGCGTTGCCGTGGCTACTGGGAACCCGTTCCTACCGGGCGAAGCGTGTTTCCGGGGCGGAGCGCGGCCGCCGGAAGTGCGTGGCCGCCCGCGGCCATGGCGGCACTATCTCTTGTCGCGTTGCTGTTGGGGGCAGCGTCCTGGCCGCCGGCTTCTGCCTCGGGTGAGGAGTTCTGGCCCGGACAGTCGGCGGCCGACATTCTGTCGGGGGCGGCGTCCCGCAGACGGTAAATGCGCGTTCACGGTGCCAACGCTGGGGTTCCAGGGCCCGGCAGGGTCAGAGGATGGGATGGGGCGGGGGAGGGTCGGGGATGCTCTGGGATGGGGCGGGGTCAGGGGCCAAGGAGATGAGATGGGGTCCTGGGGCAGGGGCGCGGGACGGAGGGTGGCCTGGACCAGGTGGATGGGATGGAGCGGGGGCAGGGGGCAGGGTCGGCCGGCGGGTTGGCTGTAGTCCGGGCTCCGTCACTGCGGCCCGGGTCTGCGGGCGGGGTCGTTTGCAAGGCCAGGCGGGCGCAGCCTCAGGAGCCCGGAAAGAGCGCAGAGCTGCTCAGGCTCAGCCTGGCGGGCCCCTGCGAGCGACATGGGTCCGGGCCTGGGTGTGCAGAGCCGGGAATCTGTGCCCGGCGCTCCGCAGAGAAGTCTCGGCCAAAACGGACTTTGCGGCCTCCGTATGGTTGTGGGATCACCAAGCGGACTCCGAGTGGGGCCAGGACCGAGAGGTGCACGCGGCCTCTCTTGTACTTGCAGGCCTGGGCACTGCAGGCAGCCGTGATGATGGGGGTCTGTGGAAAACCAGCGCAGAGCAGGGAGAGGAGAGCGCCAGGAACAGGGTTTCTGTAGCCGTTGGGGACCTGTGCCTTGGGGCGCTTGGTGTCCTTCTTGAGGGCAGTAATGCTAAAGTGTGTCCGGGATCTCTGAGCTTTCAGAGCCGTTTTAATAGTAGTACCAGGGTATGCGCCTTTTTCACTTCTCTCCCGAGTGCACTGAGGGGTTTTCCCGGAAACCACCTGATCTGTGATGTCACAACAAATTGAATGCAGAAACGGGGATGGGAATCTGGCTGTCACCAGACCAAAGAGATTTGCAAAAATTAAGAACGTCACAGTTCTAATTCACTTTTTAAAATATACTTATTTTTTCATTAAAAAAGTGAGTTTTGTTAACATGTAATGGCTTATTATTTTTAGCTGAGTTAAACATTTGTAGCTTTAATGTTTAAGATAGGACCTGTCCGTAGACATAGTGCATATAACCAGCAGCCCTTTGCGGCTGTCAATCATTGGTTCCAGTGTAAAGGAGTCTTCAGAGCAAACAATTTGAGAACCACGTGGGAGCTGATTCTTGGGTTCTAGTCACTGGGAGTCCTCTGGCCATAGTTTTGAACTATTGCTGATGGTTAAAAGGATGTTAGCATCTCTGCTCTGACTTACAGGCTCTGTAAGTAATTGGTCACAGAGAAAGAGGCCACTCACTGCCTTCACTAACTAGGAACCATTGTTAGGATCTGCAGTCGGGCCACGCGCTGAGACTTCTGAGCAGTCGGTTTTCCATGCCGAGACCTCAGCATTCAAGACCCATGGTCCTCCTCCTCCCTGCTCAGGTATCTGCTGTATGACGTCAACCCTCCGGAAGGCTTCAACCTGCGCAGGGATGTCTATATCCGAATTGCCTCTCTCCTGAAGACTCTGCTGAAGACGGAGGAGTGGGTGCTCGTCCTGCCCCCGTGGGGCCGCCTCTATCACTGGCAGAGTCCTGACATCCACCAGGTCCGGATTCCCTGGTCTGAGTTTTTTGATCTTCCGAGTCTCAATAAAAACATCCCCGTCATTGAGTATGAGCAGTTTATCGCAGGTGAGGCGGGCGGCAGGCTGGGAGGCCAAGGTTGTTTAACTGGGGCTGGGCAGTCATTTCTAGAGTAGACATCAGGTTGGACTCATGACTGCATCCAGCTTCACCAGCATCCTCCAGCACCCAGCGGGGCTACCTGAGGCCTGTGGCAGCACCTGCGACGCCCACGCTGCAGTGAGCTTCCCAAAATGTTTCTCAGGAAATAGACCTGAGGTGGATGAGCTTTCTGCCCCCTCACCTCTGGAAACCACATTGGGCTGATGAGTAGGTGAATGCAGTTAGAGCCGCCCCAACACCCTAAGAAAGCGGCCGCCTCGGGTGTTGTCCTAACAGGACTTGCCTCCCTGTGCGAAAGGCTGTTTTACGTTAAGGGTGACGCGCTGTGTGCGGAGTACACTTTGTGGTGTCTCAGTACAGCACCAGAGATAAAGGTCCCCCTTGTTTAACTTTGTGTTGCTTAATCTTTTCATTTAATTTTAAGAGAAGAATTAAAGCTCTTCTCAGAATGAAGGTATTTAGAGCTTTGTGTGTTGACTTGTTTGGAAGACATAAATTTCAGTGATGCATTTCTGCTGAACTTGAGAGGCATTGAAGACTGAGTTGGGTTTGAGTCAGGCTCATGCTTTCTAGCATCTCTTGGGGTCTTACTTGACAGCCACCCTCTAGGCTTAGAGACCTCTGCTCCCTGCCAAGGAGTGTGGCTCCCGTGTTGTCATTTTTCAAGGATGCGGGTCTCGTCGCACCCTGCATCTTGTCACTCTGAAATGTTTTCTGTGAGCGCTAGGGGCACGCAGCAGCAGAGGGAGAAACCTCTGACATCCTCGTTGATGTGAAGTCGCCAAGTTTACAGCTTGTAGCAAGCATTCCCAGAGTGCATCCTTTCCTGAGCTGACTGTAAATGTGCTCGTGAGTCCTGGAAGATGAACGCTGTGGTTGCATATTTAGTCTAACTAGCAGCCAGCCTTGGCTTGAACATTGGGTAACAGGAACCCGGAGATGCTGTCCTCACCTCCCTTTGGGACCAGTGGGTTTCCTGACAGGGAAGTGAGCAGGTCTGGGCCTGGGGCATCCGAGTGCTTGGGAAGGTCTGGGAAGACTGAGAGTCCGTGTGATGAGCTTCGGAGGCAGATATGCTGGTCTCACTCTTACCTGCCATCCACCAACCTAGGGCTTTGCTGAGCTGTTTCCTCTTCTGTGAGGCAGGGTGCCTGTCCTGGGGCGAGGCTGCCAGGAGACCACATAGTGAGCTCCTGATGTGGCACCACATCCCACTCTTGTAGAAGGAGCCCCTGCAGCCCCACCCTCGGGCCCGCAGGCCACACAGCCTTTGGCCCTCAGTCATGAGTAGTGGAAAGGACACCACGACTGCACCTGCGCGGCGATGCTCGTTCCTGGCTTTGTTTTGCAGTCTTTGAGCAGACCTTAATTGCTGACCTCTTGGGCATCGCAGTGGCACCTTCTGGGTACGGGTTCGGCCGTGGGTAACAGGCACAACTCCTTCTCACCTGAGCCCTGTCCCCGGGGAGGCAGGACACCAACTCGGTTAACCCATGCAGCAGAGGGTGGCCAAAGTGGTGAGGAGCGCTGTGGGAAGCCAAGGGGGTAGGGGACGGTGGCCTCGCAGAGGGTCGGAGAGCAAGCTCCCGAGCCGGGAACAGCCCTGATCAGGGCGTGAGGGCCGGGAAATCGGGGACCAGTGTCACCCTCCGGCTGCTGTTGCTGGCTGTCGATCCTCTGCCCTCATAGCAGGTGCTCTCCCTGCCTCTGCCTCTGTGAGCCTCCTGCAGCCCCTTTGGGTATAGGGGGGTGTACGGTAGTAAGTCACCTGCTGGCGGTTGATGTGTTCCTGTGAGTGAGCTTCTGATGATCACTGTCACACTGCCCACCTTCTCTTGATGTCTTTCAGAGTCTGGTGGGCCTTTCATTGACCAGGTTTACGTCCTACAAAGTTACGCAGAGGGGTGGAAAGAAGGGACCTGGGAAGAGAAGGTGGACTCGCGGCCGTGCATCGATCAGCTACTGTACTCCCAGGACAAGCACGAGTACTACAGGTGCCTGCAGCAGCTGCTCCCCCAGCCGCGTGCTCTGCGCCTCCTCTCCTGCTGCACGCCCCCCAACCCCGCCCCGGCCCTACCACTGTCCGGCTTCCTCCCCGGCCCTGGCCATCCTGCCAGCCCCTGTCTTGGGGAAGGCCTCAGTGGTCCGTCAGCCTGAGAGAAGCTCGGACTGCTTTTAAAATTTTATGAGAACATCACGATCCGCAGTCGGGATCAGTAAGTTTTCCCCAAAGCAGCCACGTTTCATCAGAAGCAAGCCACGGTGTGCGTGTCTAGACTTGATTTGTTTTCCTTGCGGAAGTAAAACAAACTAATAGAGCTGCCGCGGGTTTTGTTTTCCAGAGGATGGTTTTGGGGTTATGAGGAGACCAGGGGTCTAAACGTCTCCTGTCTGTCCGTCCAGGGCTCGGCCTCCGTCGTGGCACCGCTGCTTCTGAGAAACACGTCGGCCCGGTGAGTGCCCCCCCTCCCTCCCCCGCTCCGGGAGCAGCCTGGAGGCCAAGACACCTGCTCTGTGTGTGCTGGCTGGGGGCTCTCTGCCTGCATTCCCACGTCCCTGCCCACCTTCCTCACAGAGAGCAGACCCTGTGGGCCCAGGGGGTGGTGGTTGGGGAGGTAGTTCCCTGTGTGTCCCAGGAAACAGCCCAGGAGGAACCCGGGTTTAGATCAGCCACTCCAAAGCTCTAGACGCCCATGGGTGCGGATGCATCCTCCCAGGGGAGCTGTTGAGGTGTCCTCTCCGGGCCCTGGCTCTGACCATGCCGAGGTCTCCACTGGTAAGGGGTGGAGGCAGGTGTCACAGCGGTTCTTCTCCAGAGTCCCTGTCTGAGGTGCTGTGACTGCCAGGCTGAAGCTGAGAAAGGCAGTGGGTGACGTGGATGGCTGGGAGGGGGCACAGAGGTGAGGGCCCGGCCTGGCCAGGTGCACAGAGAGGAGCTGGGCTGGGCTGGGAGTGGTGGGGTGCTCACCATGGGACTGTTCTCCATTTGTAACACTTGGGGAGCTTTTGCTAATACATCCCCTCCCCCAACACCCACTGTTTCATTTGTTTTCTGCCTCATGGGTCTGCCCCGTGTGGCACCCGGCCTGGTGAGCCGGGCCTCGAGGGTCCACCCACGACGCTGGGGTTGCAGATCAGGTGATGCCTGACAATGTTGTGAACTCGGGAGGGAATTGTTGGTGGCCACGTTCTTAGAACTTTTTGCAGGCTAGGACCCTGTCTGTCACCTCCCTTGGGTCTTCTTCTGAGTCCCCCAGCAGGTGGTGTGAGCGTCTCCCGCAGGCCTGGGCACAGCAGGGCATGGGTGACCCTCGCACTCACTGACGCTGAGGCTGCCTTGTCTGCTGTCGTGCCCCGCGTGCACCTCCAGAGGCCGTGGCAGCTGCCATCCCATTGCACACCACAGCTGGCTGGTGTCAACCTGGTCAGTCATAGCTGCCGCTGGCTCCAGCAGGCCGGGACCCCCTGGTCTCAGCTGCTCTGGGCCTTCGTGAAGGCAGGTGGCTCCAGCACAGCCTGAGTCTCTGCTGCTCAGCCAGCCCGGCTGTTGCAGAAAAGCAAGACGTGGAGGTTGTGGAGGGAACTGGACTGGATCGTTTTGGTTGTTGGGATGCAGCTTTACTGTTGTGGGGACTGGGTTCATTTCATGAAATACCTGGGTTTCAGAAGCCAATCTGCCTAAGTTTGGGGCCTGCGGGACAGGCTTGCCAGTCAGTTTTTTTGACTCACATTCACAGGTTAGAATGCAGCTGAGCCCAGAGGGGGCTTGCAAGCAAATGGTCCTGATTGAGGAGAACCGCCTCTGTGGGGAGCAGTGGGAAAAAAGGAAGCTGATGATGAGGGGTGAGGTCAGCCGCCTCCAGCATACCCAGGAGTTAAAGACCTAATGGGAAGGTGAAGCTGAAAGCTGTCAGGATAGAAGCCTTACACCCTCGGGCAGGAAGCATTTCTTAAACAAGGTGTGAAAAGCATGCACCATAAAAGAAAAGATTGGTAAAGCCAGTTACTGTAAAATAAAGAACTTTTGTCCACTAGCAAAACAGAGACGGGCCCCAGAGAGGGAGCTCCTGGCAGCACAGCTCATCCACCAAGGACTCTCTGGGATACAGGAGGCAAAACCTAGCGCGGGAGGGAGGGAGGGAGGGAGGGAGGGAGGGACAGGTAGCCTGGGGTAGGGCGAGTCGGAGACACAGGAGTTAAGAACTGCTGTTAACATGAGCAGGTGTCCCCATGCTGTGGTGCTCGGGAAACAAGCTGCCATCGGGAGGACAGGCAGCAGGGGCTCGAAGGCTGCTCCTGGAGAGACGCTGATAAAACCCTGAATGCAGGACATGCGCCTGCAGACCCCTGCCCGGGAATGTTCACGGCCTCCCGGGACTGGGAAACCCGTGCAGCCCTCAGCTGCGCAGTGGCCAGATGGAGGGTGGCAGATTGGCCACTGAAGATGGGCAGACTGCTGCTGCTGTCAACAAAGACAAATCAGGATATGGCGCCCGGTGACAAAGGATCCATGTAGTCATGTTCCACATGCATGAAGGTCAAAGTCAGTGCCTCGGAGATAGAGACAGGAAGACACCAGGGAGGCCCCTGGGCTAGGCCAGGGTGGGGCATGTGTGTGACACGCTTCACTCCTCCCCCGGGCGCGGCTGTGCACTGTTGGCTTTGGAGCAGTTATCTACCCGCACTGTGGAACGGGCTTTCCCAAGCCCAGGGTTGCATTTCATCAAAAGCCGGCAAACGATGTTGAAAGCAGGGTGGGGGGCACCCACCGTGTCCAGCTACGCCCATCTCTCCAGAAAGCCCCTCACATCGCTGCCTGTGCATGTGGCCGTCTTCCTTTTTAAACGTGGGATCACCACTCACGCACTCCCCACACTTTTCTGTTTGCCTTCCCCCCCACCCCCAGCCACACACCTGGGGTGTTACGGACGCGTGGGCATCACATCGCTCTTTTGCAGCCATCTGTGCACAGTCGGAAGAAAATTTGGCCTTTGGTTGTTTTCAGGTTTCTGTAGAAGAGTCTTTGTGCAAACCATGGGGGTGTAAAACTGTAGGATGCCACCCAGAACAGGAGTGGCCAGGTTTGTGCCCTTGGTTGGCCTCAGAGTCCCCTGCAGAACAGGAACTGGGTGTGTGCCCTCGGTACGGGCCTCACAGAGTCCCCCACAGAACAGGAACGGCCAGCTGTGTGCCCTTGGCACGGTCCTCACAGAGTGCCCCGCAGTGGCAGTGCAGAGCTGGTTCCCAGGAAGTCACCAGGGCTGAGCTTGCATCTGTGTGGATCTGATAGTGAAGTGTGGAATCTGTTTTGTTCATTTGTTTCTTTTGATTTCAGAGTACAACTACACTTAAAAGCCTTTTGAAACGATAAAATGCCAACTTAGATATGTCACTAATTTTTTCTCTGTAGAAGTTAAAATTTTTCCCATAGTCACGTTATCAGTCCATTCATTAAAAGTTTCTGGATTTTGGTATTGCAGCCTTTACCGCCCCAATATTCGGGGTCTGTTTGTTCACAATCCGTTTCATGTGTTTCATTTTTATTTTGCATCAAGAGCTCTAGGGAGTTTGGTGACAATTGGTTCAGTGGCTGGAGTAGGGGAGGCCTTGCCTCGCTGGAATTAGGTAGTGTAACCATCACGGGCACCAGGATGACTGTCAGACCCAGGTCCACACATGCATGCGTTCCTACGACCAGGTTCGCCACCGGCCGTTCTCAGGGGCTGCAGTAATTCGGACGACATGCTGTCAAAAGACTGCCAGTCCAATGATGGCAGCTCTGCCAGGGATCAGATGCAGCTCCAGCTCTGAGCCCCAGAGTCAGTGAACTCTGTTCCCAGCAGCTTCTGTGAACCTCTCCTCTTTGCCAAATAAAAGCTTCCCCCACCTTCCCCTCTCCAGGCGCACCTGTGGCTTGCCATAGCCTCTTGCCCACTCTCAACTTTGCTCCTTAAATTAGGAGATACTTTTCTCTGATGTCAATTCTTTCTGTTGGCTGTGGGCATGAAAGCCCCCTCAGAACCGTGGTGTGGAGGCCGACAGCAGCCTCCCCGTGTCTCAGCCACAGCCGCCCAACGCGCCCTGGCTGGTGTCCCTCTGGGACAGTCCCTGCTTCCCCGGCCCAGGGTTCTCCCACTTTGTGTTCTGAGAGAGTGTGAATGTCATCATCCTTAACTCTTATTAACTGTTGATTCTTCTGTTTAAAAACAGGTCTGTGATGTTAGACCGAGCCGAAAACCTGCTTCATGACCACTATGGCGGAAAGGAATACTGGGATGTGAGTGTTTGCTCGGGAGTCTGTCTAAACTACTGTGTGTTGTCCAGTATTTATTTTTTGAAAATTTTAAACAGTTGACAGCTCTTTTTGGAGCTTGCTGGTTAAAATCATAATGAAAGCTGTGGATTTGGGCACCTGCCGTGACCCTGTCCACCCCGGAATGTCACGTGGCTGCAGGCCCGCCCAGCTCTCAGTTCTGATGCCACAGGCCCTGAGCTATGGCGGCATCTTGGAGTCAGCCCCCCGGTCATTGACTCCATCGGTGGCTGGAACGCAGACCCCTCCCTGCTCCTCTCTTTAGCTTTGAAAGGTGGGGCTGTTTTCTGCAGTGGGTCTTTCCCCCTGGTGTCCTTTTCTGCGTTGATGGGTGACTTTCCACAGCCACCCTGGTTCTGTGGGTGAATGGAGCAGAGGTTGGGAAGCAGCTGCTCCCTCCCGTGGGCACAGTAGGTCCGGTGACGTGTTCACTGGGGCAGCAGCTTGTAAAGCCGGGATCTGCCTCCGGGAGACACTGTCACTCTCACGTGGGGCTTCAGGCGGGTCAGTCCCATTCAGTTTGGCAAAAGCAAGACGCGCTTATGGAGTGAGATGGAAGTTGAGTTGGAGAGAGACCAGGGACACAGCCGACCGCCCAGCGCGTGCCACAGCCTCCCAAGGGGGCCTGGCAGAGCCGGTGGTGGTAGGCAGCTGGCCCGGCATTGGCTTCCTGCAGGAGAGCTTCTGGGAGCCTCTGCCGTGGATGGCGCTGCTTCTCGGGCAAGCGTTGATGAGGGACGTGACTGAGGGGCTTGTGGCAGCTGCGGGGTGGGCAGTGGCAACAGTGGAAGAACCCGCCCCGGAGGGCTGCCTGGCAGGGGGGCGGGCGTGTTCTCAGCCGAGCCCGTGGCCGTTTCCACAGACACGTCGCAGCATGGTGTTCGCCAGGCACCTGCGGGAGGTGGGCGACCAGTTCAGGAGTAGGCACCTCAACTCCACAGATGCCACGGACAGGATCCCCTTCCAGGAGGACTGGACGAAGATGCAGGTAGCTCCTCTCCCTTTCTTTTATAAGAGAAAACATAAATTCTCTTGAGATGCTCAAAAACTCATCCCTTCAATTTCAAGTCACAGCAGGGTTGGCAGTGTGGATGCTTCAGCACCTCTCTGGGATGTGAGTCTCGGTAATTACTTGCTCTCGGGAGGTGCCCGGACCTGGGGCCCTCGTCGCAGTGTGTCATTTCAACAAACGTGTTGCTTTTTGTAGGGTCAAGCCCTACAGGGTCGTGGGGTGTCCCCTATTGCTGTGCTGAGGCGTGGGATCCGAGAAGTAAAGAGACGAGACACCGAAGAACTGGAAAACACAGCTGGGCTCCAGGGGCCATGCCACCTATGAGCAGAGATAGGCGAGGCCCTGAACATCCAGGAGCATCTGTATTTATTGGGTATAGGTTGGGGGCAGGGTAGTGAGTGAGGTCATCTTAAGAACAGTGATAGGGTCAAGACAGTCATATGGGCAGTAAGCAAAGGGTCACCCCCATCAACTCACCGAGGCTAGGAGGTGGGCCGTGCGCAGTGAAGAAGGTGCAGTGTGCACCATCTCTTATCTAGGGGCAGGCTACTTCTGAGGAATTCTATAGGAGGATGCTTTGAGTCAGCACAGTGGCTAGAGATTTGACAGGTTGTACAGCCACCAAGGTGCCATTATACTGGAGGGGTTTTAAGCCCTCTGACGCTCCCGAGATTGCCAGCCTGAGGCCAGCCTTCTAAAAGAACTGGACATAAGGTACTGAAACTCCTTTCAGGAGCAGTGACTCTTGCTCCAAGCCTGCCATACAGTGGGTATCTTTATGATACTGAATGCGGCCGCCTGGGCCATAAATTCTCATCCTGGTATAACTGTTTTTCCCTTAGTTCATGCTCTACCGTGTCTGCTTTAGGCATTCCTCCGACTATGAACTAAGATATATATAAAAAGATTACATGGAAATAAATAAATGAGCAGTAAATTATTCTTTAGGCACTAATTGTGTTGGGGGTCTGCCTAGCTCTCCTTCCTCGGCACCCAAAAGGGGTATTACCCACCCATTTTCAACTTGATGTTATTTTTAAGCATTTTCAATATCTGTTTTTGGTGTTTTTTAAACGAAACTTTCATAGAAATGCTGTTTTACCTGTTTGTTCTTTATGGGATATTTGAGCTACTTCCAAGTGGAATGGCATTCATTGTTCCAGCAATAATTAAGTTACTTGGACAGTTTTTACTGGGGAAAAACATAGATTTTTCATTTTTATCTCGTTTGTATTTTCAGTGTTTTATTTTTTATTCTTGTAAATTTTATTTTTAATTTTAAATTTTTTTTTTTTTTTTTTTTTTGTTTTTTTTTTTTTTTTTTTTTTTTTTTTTTTTTTTTTTTTTTTTTTTTTTTTTTTTTTTGAGACAGTCTCGCTCTGTCACCTAGGCTGGAGTGCAGTGACGTGATCTCAGCTCACTGTAACCTCCACCTCCTGGGTTCAATCAGTTCTCCTGCCTCAGCCTCCCGAGTAGCTGGGATTACAGGCACACACCACAATGCCCGGCTAATTTTTGTATTTTGAGTACAGACAGGGTTTTGCCGTGTTGGCCAGGCTGGTCTCGAACTCCTGACCTCAGGTGATCCACCCTCCTTGGCCTCCCAAAGCACTGGGATTACAGGCATGAGCCACCATGCCTGGCTTATTTTATCATTTTTTAAACCTCAGTTGTTGTTGGGGAACAGGTTTTGTTTGGTTACATGGATAAGTTCTTTAGCAGTGATGCTGAGATTTTGGTGTGCCTGTCACCGAGCAGTGTACACTCTAATTAGTGTGTAGTCTTTATCCCTCACCCCTCCCACTCTACCCCTCAGGTCCCCAAAGTCTGCTGTGTCATTCCTAGGCCTTTGCGTCCTCATGGCTTAGTTCCCATGTGTGAGTGAGAACACATGATGTTTGGTTCTCCTTCCTGAGTGACCTCACCTAGAACAGTGGCCTCCACCTCCATCCAGGTTGCTGCAGATGCATTCATTTCATTCCTCCTTATGGCCAACGTACCACATTTTCTTTACTCGTTGGTCGGTGAACATTTAGGCTGGTTCTGTATCTTCGCGGTTGTGAATGTTGCTGCTGTAAATGTGTGTGCAAGGGACTTTCTCATATAGCAACTTCTTTTCCTCTGGGTACACACCCGGGAGTGGGATTGCTGGATCAATGGTAGCTCTACTTTTAGTTCTTTAAGGAATCTCCACACTGTTTTCCATAGTAGCTGTACTGGTTTACATTCCCACTACGAGTGTGAAAGTCTTCCCTTTAACCACATACACACCAGCATCTTTTATTTTTGGATTTTTTTTTTTTTAGATGGGATTTTGCTCTTGTCGCTGAGGCTGGAGTGCAATGGCACAGTCTCAGCTCTCTGCAACCTCTGCCTCCTGGGTTCAAGTGATTCTCTTGCCTCAGCCTCTCGAGTAGGTGGGATTTCAGGCACCTGCCACCGTGCCCACCTAATTTTTTGCATTTTTAGTAGAAACAGGGTTTCACTATGTTAGCCAGGCTGGTCTCAAACTCCTAACCTCAGGTGATCCATCCATCTCGGCCTCTCAAAGTGCCGGGATTACACACGTGAGCCACCACACCTGGCCTGTTTTTGGATTTTTACATATGGCTATTCTTGCAGGAGTAAGGTGGTATGCCATTGTGGTTTTCATTTGCATTTTCCTGATAATTAGTGATGTTGAGCATTTTTTCATATGTTTGTTGGCCATTTGTGTATCTTTTTTTGAGAATTGTCTATTCATGTTCTTAGCCCACGTTTTGATAGGATTGTTTGTTTTTTTTTCTTGCTGATTTGTTTTAGTTCCTTGTAGATTCTAGATATTAGTCCTTTGTCAGATGCAAAGTTTGTATTTTCTCACACTCTGGGGGCTGTTTACTCTGCTGATTTGTTTGTTTTGCTGTGCAGAAGCTTTTTAGTTTATGTCCTATTAATCTTTGTTTTTGTTGCATTTGCTTTTGGGCTTTTGGTCATGATTTGCCTAAGTCAATGTCTAGAAGAGTTTTTCCGATGTTATCTTCTAGAATTTTTATGATTTCAGATCTTGGATTTAAGTCTTTGATCCACCTTGAGTTGATTTTTTTTAAGGTGAGAGATGAAGATCCAGTTGCATTCTCCTACATGTGGCTTGTCAATTATCCCAGCACCATTTGTTAAATAGGGTGTCCTTTCCCCACTTCATGTTTTTGTTTGTTTTGTCAAAGATCAGTTGTCTCTAAGTATTTGGCTTTATTTCTGGGTTCTCGTTTCTGCTCCACTGGTTTACTTACTTATTTTTTAGCAGTACCATGCTGTTTTGGTAACTATAGCCTCGTAGGATAGTTTGAAGTTGGGTAATGTGATGCCTCCAGATTTGTACTTTTTGCTTAGTCTTGCTTTGGGTATGTAGGCTCTTTTTCAGTTCCATATGAATTTTAGGATTTTTTTTTCTAGTTCTGTGAAGAATGATGATGGCATTTTGATGGGAATTGCACTGATAGATTGCTTTTGCAGTGTGGTCATTTTCACAATATTGAGTCTACCTATCCATGAGCATGGGATGTGTTTCCATTAGCTTATGTTGTCTATGATTTCTTTCAGCAGTGTTTTATAACTTTCCTTGTAGAGATCAAGTTTTATGGTTTTTTTTGTTTTTGTTTTGCAGCTGTTGTAAAAGGAGTTCTTGGTTTGATTCTCAGTTTGGCTGTTGTTGGTGGATAGCAGTGCTACTGACTTACGACTTTGTCCGTCTTTTGGAATACACTGATTTTGTATCCTGAAACTTTATTGAATTCATTTATGAGATCTGGGAGCTTTTTGGATGAGTCTTTAGGGTTTTTCTAGGTATACTATTATATCATCAGTGAACAGTGACAGTTTGACTTACTTTTTACCAATTTGGATGCCCTTTAATTCTTTGTCTTGTCTGATTGCTCTGGTTAGGACTTCCAGTATTGTGTTGAATAGAGGTGGTAAGAGTGGGCACCTTGTCTTGCCCCAGTTCTCCGGGGGAATGCTTTCAACTTTTCCCCATTCACTATAATGTTGGCTTTGGATTTGTCATAGATGACTTTTCAAAGTGAAGGTCTTTTCAGAGACCTTGAGGTATGTTCCTTCTATGCCACCTTTGCTGAGGGCTTTAATCATAACGCGGTGCTGGATTTTGTCAAATGCTTCTTCTGCATCTATTGAAATGATACGATTTTTGTTTTTAGTGCTGTTTGTGTGGTGGATCAGATTTTTTGACTTGTGTACATTAAACCATACCTGCATCCCTGGTATGAAACCCACTTGATCATAGTGTGTAATCTTTTTGATGTGCTGTTGGATTCGGTTAGCTAGTATTTTGTTGAGGATTTTTGCATCTATGTTTATTAGGGATATTGGTCTATTGATTTAGGGGAGATTCCCTCTTTCTCTGTCTTTGGAATAGTTTTCAGTAGGATCTCTCACCAGTTCTTTGAATGTCTGATAGATTTCAGCTGCGAATCCATTGGGTCCTGGGCTTTTCTTGTTGGCAGTTTTTAAATTATTGTTTCAATCTCACTACTTGTTATTGGTCCTGTTCAGAGTTTGTTTCTTCCTGGTTTAATCTAGAAGGGTTGTATATTTCCAGGAATTTATCCTCTAGGTTTTCCAGTTTTTGCACATAAAAGTGTTCGTAGTAGCCTTGGATGATCATCTGTGTTTCTGAGGTAGCGATTGCAATATATCCCGTTTCGTTTCTGATTGAGCTCATTTGGATCATCTCTCTTCTTCATTAATCTCAATAATGGTCTATCAATTTTGTTTGTCTTTTCAAAGAACCAGCTGTTTGTTTCATCTAACTTTTGTATTTTTTTGTTTGTTCATTTTAGTTTCATTTAGTTCTGCTCTCATCTTGGTTATTTCTTTTCTTCTGCTGGATTTGGGTTTGATTTGTTCTTGTTTCTCTAGTTCCTTGAGGTGTGATCTTAGACTGTTTATTTGTGCTCTTTCAGATTTTTTGATGTAGGCATTTAATGCTGTGAATTTTCCTCTTGGCACCACTTTTGCTGCATCCCGGGGATTTTGATGATTATGTCACTAGTTCAGTTCAAAGAATTTTTAAATTTCCATCTTGATTTCATTGTTAACCCAATGATCAGGAGCAGATTATTTAATTTCCATGTATTTGTATAGTTTTGAGGGTCCTTTTGGATTTAATTTCCAGTTTTATTCCACTGTGGCCTGTTAATATTTCGTCAAACCTTTTTTCAAAGTTCTTAGTTTCTTTGCATTGGGTTAGAACAAGTTCTTTTAATTCCCAGAAGTTTCTTATCATCCACCTGGAACACAGTCTTTCTCCATCAGGCCTTGTTCTGTCGCTGATGAGGAACTGTGATCCCCTGTAGAGGGAGAGGCATTCTGATTTTGGGTATTCTCATCCTTTTTAGGCTGGTTTCTTCCCTTCGTTATAGATTTATCCATCTGTGGTCTTTATAATTACCGTCTTTATAGTTGGGTTTCTGAGTGGGCGTCCAACTTGTTGATTCCCGGCGCTAGAATCTGAGCAACCCACTGCGCCAGCCAAAACAGCGGCGTTAAGATTGATGGTGCTTTTCTGACTCTGCACCAAGAACCGCCGCACCAAGGCAGCAGCAGAACCACCTCGTCGGCCACAAGAGTTGCGCTGGCGACCCGTGGGGCTCCTCCGCTGGGAGTCTCTTGGTGCGTGAGCAATGAAAATTCATCTGAAAGTGTGTCCTCTCGTTCTCTGTGCTTTCACTGGGAGCTACAATCCCGAGCTGCTAGTGATCAGCCATCTTGGATCTCTCTCCCTCCACTGTGGCCTGAGAGGGTACTTGACATAATTTGATTTTCTTAAATTTATTGAGATTTGTTTTGTGGCCAGTCATATGACTTACCTTGGAGAATGTTCCATGTGTTGATGAACAGAATGTTCTGCAGTTGTTGGGTAGAATGTTCTGTAATTATCTGTTAAATCCATTTGTTCTAGGGTATAGTTGAGTTCCTTGTTTCTTTGTTGACTTTCTGTTTTGATGGCCTGTCTGGTGCTGTCAAT